ACTGGGTAAAGGGTACAGGACAATTCTGCATTATTTCAGGAAACTGCATGTGAATTTACAATTATCTCAAAATAAAACCTTTAATTTAAAAAATACAATATAGTTGGCACTCCTATCTGTGGATTTCACATCCACAGATTCAACCAATCATGGATTGACAATATTTGGGGGGGGGAACCTCCAGAAAGTTCCAAAAAGCAAAACTTGAATTTGCCACACACCCGGCAACTATATACATAGTATTTACATTGTATGTACAACTATTTACATAGTATTTACATTGTATTAGGTATTACAACTAATCTAGAGATGACTTAAAGTATACAGAAGGATGTGCAGAGGTTATATGCAAATACACCATTTTATGTAAGGGACTTGAACATCCATAGATTTTGGTATCTCCAAGGGGTGGGGGGATCCTGGAACCAATCCCCCACAGATACTGACAGATGACTGTACTCCCAGTTATTTTGAATTTCAGAAAAACAATCATTTTTAGTATCATTATATCCCATGCAATGGAACACACTGGAACACATTTGGAACACACTGGTACTAAAAGATGATTTGTTGTTTCTCTGAAATTCCAATGTAACTGAGAGTCCTGTATTTTACCTGGCAATACTGCTCTTGGCATTTGCTTAGCAAGATAAAGTTATGATTTGCAAAATAAAAGAACATTTAAGGGTTGGCTAAGAGAAAACATGCCCTGATCTCAGAAACCCCTAAATCCTCCCTCTCAGCAGCTGGCCTCTCCTCTGCCTCACTTTTTATTACAACAAATGTGCTACTGCCCACCAGTCCTGGTGAGAAAAGCCACGCAATTTTCACAAAGGAGTGAAAAGTACCCAGATAACCCTCCCTTCCCAATCCCAGACTTAAAATAGTATCTCCTTCAAGATAGATTATGATAAAAAAGAAAATTAAACAGAATAGTCAGGAAGCATTTTCTAGAAACAATTTTGGGTCTCCAGTACAGTAACACTGTAAAAAAACACAACCAAGAACTAATAGATATCTGAAAAATATCTCTCACATGATAAAGATGGAGATCAAACAAGAAAGAAAAAAAGCAACTTCAGAGAAAATGCATTGTGCAGGAAGAAAATACCAAGAAATTATTACTATCCTCAGAGATATAAAATGCTACAATCACAAGCAAGAGCAGAATCCCACAGAGAACACAGAGAGCATAAAATTAAAAATTAGATAGAAATTAAAAATATAATAGAAGAAATGTAAAACTCAAAAAGAGGTGGAAGATAAAGTGAGTAAATCTCCCACAAAGTACGGCAAAAAGGCAAAAAATAAAAAGAGAAAAGAAAAGTTGATGAGGCTAAGGGTTCTGTAACAGAAACAGCAGCAATCCCAAGAAGATGTCACAGAGATAATTAGGGCAGCAGAGGGGGAAACGAACAAGGAACAAGAAGCTGTTATAGGACGTAAGAGCAGGAGGTTCCAGGATGAAACGTGCCAAGCAAAATGGACAAAAACAGACCCACACCAACACCAGACTGTTGGGAAATTTCAGAACAGAGGGGACAAAAATATCTTAAAGGCTTCCAAAGAGAAAAGCCAAGTTTTAAACAAAGGATCATGAAAACACATTTTCCAATATCCAGGATGTAAAAAAATTATTTCCTATGCACCCTTTTTCAGGGAGTTGCTGGAGAAAACACGCTACCAAAATGAGGGAATAAACTAAGAAAGAGAAAGACGCAGGCTACAGAAAAAAGGAAATTAACAGAAGAGGTGGAGAGGACCCCCAGGACGAGCAGAAGGCCCCAGAATGAAAGGGCGCTCCTCTCCAGTCAGAAGGCTCCGGGGTAGACTTCCTCGAGAGTCTGAAGTTGATCAAATATGTCTGGGCATCTTAAGAGAAGACTTAGACAAATGATAGAGGAGTTGAGGTCAAATTAGTCGTAAGTACATAAGCAAACAAAACAAATCAGACAAATGATTCTTCCAGGGAAAACAAGGGGTTGTTCAGAGGAGGAAAAGCAACCACAGTTTACTACATGACTGAGCTCTGGTCAGCGTCTACACAGTCATAAGAAAGTACAACAGAATTACTGTGTAACTGGACTGAGAAGTTGGAGGGATGAGGACTGAGATGTGTGTAAGGTAGAGACCAAGAAAGAGAGAGACCTAACCTTCATCCTCTGTAATAGAAAATCAGTAGAAATGCCCTAAAATTGATAAACCAAGAAGAAGCAATACAATTGTGCTATTAAAAAATATGGAGATAATTTTTCTAAAAAACAATTGATGACAGTTACTTTTGTAGAAGGAAAAATGGGAGTGGGAGCAGAAGCATGAATGCTCCTTCGTGCAGAATTGACTCTTTATAAACACCTAACTTCCATAAAATTGAGTCTTTAAATTCATAACTTTCTTAAAAATAAAAAAGATGAAAAACTCCAGTCTCAACTATCCATCCTCCAAAAAACCTTTTTTATGTCAATTTAATATATTCTTCAACTTAAAAAAAAAATCTGCCTATCTCTAACAGTATTACATTAACCAACTAAAAACCTATTTTCAGAACCCTATTCGTCAAAGCATTTAAAAGAATTCCCCACCAACCATGTGGAGACCAGCATAGCTCACCCCACGAATACTTCCTTAGGGTCTATTTGTCTATTTGTACTGGCATTTATGTTTGGAATAATAGTGGCTTATTATAAAGAAGACATAGCTGTGTTTAACATGCTAGGTCTGGATAACTTCACTCAAGATTTTGACAAAAATTATCCCCCAAGTGATATAAATTTAGACACTTTTTAAAGTCCAGATGTGAAATACCAAGAAAAATTTGAATTTAGCCTGGAGTCAATACTAAGTCAAAAAAAAACCAAATCCACAAAACATAAGTACTATTTTCCTTCTGAAGTTCACTATATTTTCTGGAACAGGTTCCCCATTGAATTTTCCTTTCTTTGAGACTGGCATTTGGAATCATTCTATCATGGTTTGCAACTCTAAGTTTGTGCTTATCCTGAATATCTTATTATAATTAAAAAATGTAAATCCAGAAGCAATAGCCTTTCCTTACAGAAGAATTCCAGTTAATGAAGGTAGAGGGAATGAGAGAAACAGGAAGTCACCGCTGGAACACCACAGCCGTAGCTGCCATGAGCAAGGTCTGCCAGTGGATGTGAAAACGAGTGAGGCAAGGTTTCAGCAGAAACAAGACATTTGCATAGCTCAAACATCTCCAGCAAGTATTTAGTCACTACAAAGGGAAACACAGTAAGTTTACAGCAGGGAATCCTAGCGGCGGTTAAGGTTAACAACACCAGAAGTACATTACCGCATCAGCTGTCATGCTAAACTGTCACAGATTGGAGGCCACTATGACGACATGGCAGCTAAATCCAAGGCAGGATCCTGAACTGGATCCTGAAACAGTGAAAGGACATTAGTGAAAAGACTAAGAAAATCTCTACTTTCAAAATTCTCTACTTTAGCTAATAGTAGTATATCAAGGCTAATTTCTTAATTTGACAAATGTTCTATAGTTATGTAAGACGGTAACAAAAGGAGACGGTGAGAGTATACAGAAGCTGTTTTTACAACTCTTCAGGTCTAAAATTACCCCAAAGTTTAAAAAAAAACTGTTAACATTCACACATGTATATGTATATATGTGTATAATGTACGATTTTATATAAATCAAGACTTCGGGGAAATTGGTACCTTGGGCACTCAGTTAAAGAGTAGCGTTCTCTCCTGAATTATCTCACTGTCTCACTGGTTTTAATATTAACTTAGCTCTGAGATTCTTCCCCTTCTAAATTTTCAGATAAACTTTGAAATTTTCATAGAAAAGCCTTTTTTTTTTAACATTCCTATAGTAGGCCAAAAACTAAAAATCCTAGAATAAAATTGTCACCCTATTATCTCATAAAATCACTCATACCAACACATAAGACCCGGCCAATATTCATACTCTATTTCTTCTTATCACATAATATGTTTGCATTGGTGAGGAGAGGAGATGGCTGATAGATTTATTATCTTATTAATAGGCTTGGCAGTCAAGAAAGAAAATGGTCATTTGGATATCTTATTAAGAAATAGTGGCTTTCCCAATAACAGATACTGTATACTGGGACTCACTTCAGATGTAAAACGTTATGTACCTCTCTTCTATGTGATAGCACAGGGCTGCCCACGCAAATCCAGCTAAGACCCTTTCAGCATCCTTCCTTCAGTCTGGCTCTAAAGTGACTATTACTAGTGGTGGTAAACATCTTTTTTATAAAACAAGCAATACTGTCCATGCAACTTATTCTAGAGAAATAAAGATTAAAAAATCTTCCTTTAACAGAACACAATAATTTCCCATCTAGCTATGGCTGATTCATTCCCTGAGCATGAACCCTCTTCTACCCTCACTGTTTCTGCTATAAACTGAGCTGAAATCTGCTCATAGGAGTCCTGATGGTGAAGCTAATATTTCAGATGGAGGAACAGCATTCCCAAATGGTCATGTTTATTACTTTTGTGGTTATGATTTCTACTCACTGTGGCATTTTATTTTTCATCTGTGTTTATCATATTGCTCAGTATGGAAGCAGCAGTAATGAAAAGATAATTGGGAGAGGGGGGAGGTTAAATGAATCTTTACCCAAATACAATTTAAGAAGCAAAAAAGAAAATGGCCACATTTTCATTCCTGTGCCCATGCCTTTTCCAAATTAACCTTCCAATATTCACATAAAAAGCAGACGTGGTAAAACTCTAACCTAACGATCTGTACCAAAAAGGAGACAATCTTCCTTGGGAACTCACTACACACTGCATTATATTCAAGTGGTGAAAAGATACAAATTCATCCAGAATTGCCTACTGCCAATATAGTTTCTTGAATAATTATATTCACATATTACTACAAAATGTACCAAGAAGTAGAGAATAATACTATACTTCTGAACTGCAAATAACAAAACAAAACAAAACAAAACAAAACAAAACAAAACAAAACAAAACAAAGGTCCAAGAAGGCTGGAGTCCAAGCTATAATTTACACATGAAGTATACGTTGAAAGCAGTCACAACGTACAAAAATGCGACAGAGTAATCCAGATGTTTAAAAAAACAGCCTGTTAGTCTCAGATAATATCCAGTCTTATCTGGTAGGTTTCTGGTGAGCCTGTTACATGAAGTGTATTTCCCTCCTGCTGGTAAGAAGCAGCTTGCTGATACGCATACATTTCTAAAGGGTACGCCTACCTGACAAAATCAGTAACTCCACAGCTTCCTATTACATTCATTGGTCTGAAAATTCTAAACAACTCATAACCAAAATGTTCTTCCAAGTCCTTTACCAGTTTTTCAAGTTTTAAATCAAAGGGAAGTTGGAATGTATTGCTTCTTGTTGTCAACAGGCATTGCAGTAAGAGGGTAATTAACCAAAATCAAGAGTTCTTTGGTCAAGTTAGTAACAGGCTTCCCCTTTGTTCTAAATCCTTTCATAATCCCTTTTTTTCCAATTTTTCCAGTATAGCCTGGATTTTGCAAACAGCCTCTTTCCTGGCCTGCCGGACAGAGTCCTGGCCCCCAGTTTCAACTGAATCCAGTTCCAAAAGTTCCTTGGTTAGCATTTCTTCTAGAAGCCAGTATGCTTTGTCTGTCTTTTTTCCTACGAACTCTTCCACTTCTTGCTCAAGATACTGGACCTTCTCCAGCACATGTATGATTTTTTTAATACTTGGGGGAGTCCCCTCATCTGAAGATAAACACTCTTCAGGAAGATTATTGCTTTGATCTTGACTGCTGGGATGTTCGCTGGAGGCGCTACCATACAGCTGAGGCGCAGCGCTGTACTGGACCTGGGAATCCAGGAGTTCTGAGTTGTCACTGTTCGCTGTTCCCGAGGACTCGTACTGATGGACCCCGCAAGGAAAGCTGTGCCGGTTCATGCCTTGATCTGATTGGCTATAGGGATACGAGGAGTCCTTGAGTGGGGGGCAAAGAAGGGGGGAAAGCAGTTTTAACAGGAATCCATCAACATCAGATGTGTTAGCCCCCATCTTTCACCTTACTAGGAAGGTACGTGGAAAGATTCCCCACCAATGAAACTGGACAGCCCTCTTTAATTATCTGAGAAAAACACAGCCCTAAAAAGATAAAAGGCAGCTCACACAACACCTCTCATCTGTGTGGCCCGCTGCTGTCTATGGCTGGGTACCCTGATAAACTCCTTTTTATTCTATTAAAAAAAGAGGAAAAAAAAGACGAAAGGCAGAGAATTCCTGAGAAGAAAGGCTGGCATCTACCCTCAGGCAGGTCATCCTCAGGGCCACCTCGCAATCTGTCTAGCAACTTAAAAAATAGGAATTAGATAGTTTCTCCCCTAAAGAGATAAAACCTTAAGACGAATCTTGAAAAGGAACTTAGCGACAAGCAAATGATGTTCAAGTCTATGGTTTAATTAAACCATGCAATTTCACATTGGTTTTGTCTTCTGTCCGGAGACTGAGGTAATAAAATCCAATTTTTGATTTTGTTTAACATTCAGCTAGTATTACAACAAGCAGTAAATCAGCATTTTTCCATCTTTCATAAAAAAGATGTGACCCTAAAACTGCTGTAAAAAAAAAAATCTATTAAAAAAAATGGTGGGGGGGAACCAGGATGGGTAAAGCTATAGGCAGTAGCCACCAACTTTTTGCGATTGGTCCCCATTTAACACAAACCAATGCAAAGAAGTTCCATGTTGTGCTGTCTTAATTTTCCAAACATCAGAAGAACAACGTTTAGAAGGCCCCCTACCTTGGGCAGCGGGGGTGGCGGGGACGGAGGGGGCTGAGGAGAGCCACTGCTGGGCCACGATGAAGTGCTCTCGCTCAGGTAGAGGTTCCCAGGTGGCGCTGAGGGCGCAGCTGAAGGCCAGGGGTAACGGGTGCCCATTCCGTAAGTACCGGGAGGAGCCCATGAGTCCTCCTGAGGTCGTACAGTCGGTCCTGGTTGTGGAACACTACGGTTACCATCCCCATAAGGATAATGGGGAATGCTCATTCCAGGGTTCTGGATTGAGAGGAAGGAAATTTGCTGGTCATTGCTAAAACACACTTGAAGAAGTAACGACAAGATTCCAGTATAAACATGAGATGCGTAATGGTATATTTTAGCTACCACTGGGCTAAACTGTAGCATCTCTAATCTGTTGCAATAATTTCTCCAAGCCTAAAACAGCCTGGTTCCAAGGATACCAGGGGCAGAGTTAGTGACAATCAAGTTCAGAAGGAACAGGGCCTACACTTCAATGGCTGAAGCATAACATAAGTCTGTCCCAAAGATACTGTAAATAAATGGATCAATATGCTACAAGGAAGCACAAATAAAGATATATTCGAACTTCCCTTGAAGAAAAGAAAAATAAACATGATATCATTCATAGAATGTTAAAAAATAAAAACCTGACCTCCTGAAGTGAACAGAGAAATAAATCCAGTACCATTCATTAATATTCAAAAACAAAAACACAGCAGAAAAAAGCTCACCTGTGAAGCAGGATATCCGGGAACCTGCCCCCTAAGAGGGGGTGCTTCAGTCTGGCAGTCCTGCTGGGGGTACATCCAACGAGAGACTGGGGCTGGGCTGTTGCCAGGTGAACGGTAAGTGCTTGGAACCTCTGTGGAGTAACTGGTCTGAGCATACCCAGGTGTGTAATAAGCCCCCGAGTATGAGGCGGTATTTGTCCCGGGGCCAGGGGGGTATGGCGGGCCATATGCTCCGTTTGTATAAGAATTCAAATTCTAAAAAAGCAAAGTTGAGGGGAAAAAGGATGAATGAGTGGAAGAGCTGAAACACCCTGACTTAATACCCAACTTTGAAAACTTTGGGAAGAAAGGAGACCAGTAACTAGTGAAAATATCAATCTTTGAGGTGTTCTTTCATGTATTATAATCATACACATACACTAAGCTCAGACCACCACTGCACAGTCTATGTCATAACAGAGGGAGGGTATATTGTGATGCACGACGAAGTGACGGCCTCAGAGCAGCGCTTCTCCACCACTTCCATCAGTGCACCTAGCAGTTACCCCCGACAGCAGGGAACCTGTCCCACAAACCAGAGGCGGGAATTTTGGGAAACTTGGGAGAAGGGCTAGAGAAAGAAACACATAAGCATGACAGAACAGTAAGAAGAAAAGACCACAGAGACGGACCCAGTCCTGCCACAGGCTTTGCGTTTACCCTCCCTGAGCTTTAGTTTCTCCAGCAGGAAAATGGAGACCATGAACTTATCTTGCAGGGTTATTGTAAAATTAAGTGAGACGAGAGATATACAATGCTTAGTACAGTGTCTGGCACATAGTATGCTCAATAATTGGGAATTATTTATAATACTGTTGTTAGTATTATGATGCCAAGGTCAGGAAGCGAACCCAGATCTGACCCCAAGCCCAAGTTCTGTGCACCATCCCACTCTGCTTCCCAGATAATAACAGCAGACAGAGACAAATTCCTCATATATTGCTTACTGCAGTTTTAAATCACCTTTCCACCTAGAACCCTCAGTTCAGTAATCTAAACAAGATTAAAGCTAAACTCTAAATGACTACCTTAATGTATTAATTTGTACTTTACCTTTTTAAAATGGTAAAAACATAGAATCAATTTCTCTAGTACTCATCCTTCTAAGACTAGATAATCCATCTTATTTTAGGTAGAAGAATAAGAAAAGAGCCCTGTGATATTAACTAGACTTACTGTGGTGATCATGTCACAATGTACACAGATACTGAATCATTACATGTATACTCTGAAACTAATGTCATATGTCAATTATACCTCAATTAAAAAAGAAATCTGCTTTCTAAAGCTGTTAATGACTGAAGAAGATGATATTCAAATTTGATTCCTGATCTAACACATCAAATAGAGGGACAGATCAAAGTGGGAGGGAGGGCATAATTCTGTGGGAAATAATTTAAATTCTCAGCCATACCTTTATGGCAAGAAGATAGAAGACAGGCTACTCCCACCAAAGAATTCCTGCAGGGACAGGTGCAAGGGAGGACCCAGCAAGGCGTCCCTGAGCAGAAGGACAAGGAACACCCTTTGTCAAAGCCACTGCAAGGCTGATAAAGTCTTCTGCCCACAGGCTGCTGTCCGTAAACAATCCCTTATGCAACATACACAGTTGAAGACTCGATAAGAAAACATCATGTGACTTTTTGTACCGTTATTCAACTTCTAGAAATCCTTCCTAAGGAAATGATTCAACCGAGAAAAAGTTGTTTTTGTTCATCACACCATTATTTGCAATCACACAGATTTGTAAACAACCTAAATGTCCTGTACTGATGGAATGATTAGGTAGATTATGGACTATTCACTGAGGGAAGTTTATTCTGTCTTAAAAAAATTCACTGTTAGAATTAACCAGACATTTAATGATATTAAAGTATTACTTTTAGTTTATCTTTGAGTTTTAATAATGGCACTGCAGTACTGTTTTTAAGACTTCCTTATATCTTCAAGATACATAAGTATTTACCAGTGAAATAGTAATGATGGCTGGAATTTGCTTCAAAATACTCCAAGGATATAGATGAAACGTTATGGCCTTGATTGACACTAGTTGAAGCTGAGAGATGGGGCCATGAGAGATTACTGTGCTATTCTCATTACTTTGGATTGTGTTTAAAAATTTCTTTAATATTAAAAAAAAAGAGTTCTTGTTTTTTCACCCTATAGCATGGAAAGTACATATAAGTGAAAAGTCACACAAAAAAGTGTATGTACCATAAGCTTAACACTATGTAAACATGATAGGGAAAAGGCTGAAACCAAATTTACCAAAATATAGATATATTAGGATGACAGAAGTTGAGTGTTTTTTCTCCCTTTTCTTTATTCCTGGATGTTTAATAATAAAGTTGTATTACTTTCTACAGTAAAAAAAAATTTTAAATGTCATGAAATTCCAAGTATGTCTAGAAACTGGTGGGCCGCTCGCTACTTCATCTAAGGCCAAGTAGACTATTTTCATGAAGAGAAACATGTCTAAGGACAGCGAGTTGCGATCTGCAACTTGTCAACTGGTATGGCAACACATGAAATCTGAAACTGAGCAACTACAAGAAGAACTAAATAAAGTCTTTGACGGGCACTGAATTTCTGTAAAAGTCTCATTCTGGATTCCAGAAGAAATCAAGAGACTGGAGCTCTTAAAATTCAAAACAATTCCAAGAGCTGTTCTTGTTCTAGATGTAAATGCCGATATGACTTAGCATTCCAAAGTCAAAATAACATCACACCATATGGCGTCTCACTGCAAGCTAAAGATTAGCCAGGAGGAAATACTTCTTCCAAAAGTTGGCTTTACAGTTGATGGACTGTTGTGCTGATGTAGAATCCAAAGAAGAGAAAAGTGGTCCAGTCTCTCACCCAGAAAGTGACACACTGTTTAATGGATTCCCCTTCCACTTGGTATATGAATATCAATCAGCAAACAGATCCAATCCAAGCAGGGGGAAAAAAAGATTTCCTCTAGCAACACCATAATTCCTCCTGGTGTGCCTATCTATTCACCACAAAAGTACTCCAAGACTTCATAATTAGCAGCAGTCAGCATCAACTTGAGTTTCTACTAATCCTCGTTTTCAGAATTGCCACATCTATTGTCACTCACTGGCTGCTTCCTCATGCAGTATCTCTACTTACAGAACTATCTCAATTTTTGTCCCCTAGGAACTCCTAACCACAGTACTTAATCAGCTGTATTTTATAACCAAGTTCCCCTTTAAATTAAATGAAAAGGTGTTACAGGTTCTGACCAACGTCTTTTTGTATCATGAACTCTCAATTCAAAATGTAAAAAGGACTTTAGTTTCCTTTGTTAGAGCATTTCTATTGGCAGACACTCAATGTTTTGTCGTGTAATCTCCCAGAAGCCAAGAGATGGTCTTCTTTACCCGAAAAATCAATGTGAAAACATCCATGTTTCACTCTTCAGGAAATACTGGTGGCAGGGAGCTTTAGAAAAGCAAGTTACCTTAATGATCAGTGAGAGGATTTTAAATAAACCAAAAAAAATCACAGTATTTACCAGAAAACCTGCCTGCTCATCATACTTTTCCCAAGTACCCACTGGGTCCACAGATCAGAGCTACAACCTGCGTGTTTACAAACGATCGTGGAGTCAAAAGAATATGTATTATTAGCTTTGCAGTTGCTACAGACAGTGACTAAGGATGAGCTAGTGTTCGTAGTTCAGAATGTTGCAAGGTTTTAAAGTCTTCTGAACAGCAGCTTGGCAGCACAGCAAAGAAAATAAAGGAGTTCCTGGCTGAGTTTCAGAGCCTGACACAGAGGCCAAGAGAAAGAAAATACTTCTGGGGCTTCAGAAGATAGTCCTTGATGCAAATGGAGGAGTTAAGAGCAAATAAGAAGCAACCTTAGTTTAAAGAACTCAGAAAGCAGCTGAGGAATTTCATCAGCAGTCTAATGAGCATCCCCTCCCTCCAGGGACACAGCGCCTGTTCGAGCTGGTGCACTGCTTGCCCACACCTGCCCCCTGAACCTCCCTACCCGCTCCCTGACAACCCTGACTACGAGCTGACGAACGAAGCTCTGGAAAAGAACGAAGCTCTGGAAAACGAGGAAAGCTGCATTCTGAAGACTGCCCCCAGCACCTGCCTGGCATGTAAGCCACACGTGAGCACAGCACACTAACCAGCTGCGGGGACTTGCTCAGGGGCCCTCACAGCATTAAAAGCTTCTAAAGAAACAAATGTAAATTCCATACTCTTAGGGGGAAAATGCACGAAATTGTGCATTCTTGGTTTATTGGAGCTGTTTCTGAATTAAGACTGTGTAAGATTTAGAAAACCTACCAAAGAGAAGAATGATCATGAGGTGGCAGCTAGAAAGACAAATGAGTGAAACCATGTAATTCTGAAAAAAGGAAACCAGCCATATCTACACACCACTACAGGAGTCTGTTTTGGTCAGAAGAAAAATGTGTAATCCCCGTGTAATATTTCACCAGAAAATATACGTGTGCTAATCCCACACGGTTATGTGTCTAGATACCTTTGGGTTCAGAATCCAGTAATTTATATGTTGTATCAAAAAGCTCTCTCACATTATTGCTGTTGCTTCCAGAGTCAGCACTAAATTAAAAGTCAATCTTTCTTAAATACATGTAATAGATACATGTAATAAATTCCTTTATCTAAGCGGGAAAAATGTCATGTCCTAAAAACGATCTTTATCAACACGAACAATTGATGGAATCAGAAAAATTAATATTGCTGAGAAAAACTGTGACTCATGACTTTAAGTAAGGAGTTTTGTCTGCCTCCTTCATCAACTGTGAAAGTAAGGTATGCCATTCCCCAAATTGACCTTTATGCAACCCAAGTGAAAATCCCACCTGCCTTTTGTGCTGAAATTGCAAAGGTGATGCTAAAATTCATATGAAAATGTAAAGGACCCAGAATACCTAAAACAATCTTGAAAAAGAAGGCAGCTGGAGGACTCACACTTCCCAATTTCAAAACTTAATGTAAATCTACGGTAATCAGAACAGTTTAGCACCGGCACAAGGACAGACACAGAGATCAAGGGAACAGAATTATGAGTCTAGAAAAAAACTCTTACCTTTATGGTCAACTGATTTTCAACAAGGGTCCCAAGACAATTCAATGGGGAAAGAATAGTAGACTTTTCAACAGATGGTGCTGAGATACTTGGATAGTCACAAGTGAAAAAATGAATTTGGACCCTACTTCACACCATATACAAAAATTAACTCAAAGTGGATCACAGACCTCAATGTAAAAACAAAACTATTGTTAAAAAAGAAGGGGGGAAAAAAACCTCTTAGAAGAAAACACAGGAGTATAGCTTTGTGACCTTGGCTTCAGCAATGGTTTCTTAGATTTGACACCAAAAGCAGGAGCAACATAGAAACACAGATAAATTAGACATCAAAACTCAAAACATTTGTGCTTCAAAGGATAGCATCAAGAGGGTGAAAAGACAACCCAGAAAATGGGAGAAAATACCTGTAAATCATATATTTCATAAGAGACTTGTATGTTGAATTTATAAAGAACTCTTGTAACAACAATAAAAAGACAAATACCCCAATTTCAAAATGGGCAGAGGATCTGAATATGTATTTCTCCAAATAAGATACACGAATGGCTAATAAGCACATGAAGATGCTCAACATCATTAGTCATCAGGGATCTGCAAATCAAAACCACAGGGAGATACCACTTTACACGACACAGCTCGTGGAAAAATAAAAATTAAATGGTATGTCCACAGAAGAGGACATTATTTGGCCACAGAAAGGAATGAAGTATTGATACATGCCACAATGTGCATGAACATTATGCTAAGTTAAAGAAGTCTGTCACAAGATATCACATATTATACGATTCCAAAATGTGGATATCCACATGTGAAAATGAAATGTCCAAAAGAGGCAAATCCATAGAAAAAAAAGATTAGAAGCTGCCAGGGGGCTGGGGAGAGGGTGGAATGGGGTGATAGGTACACTGCTCTATTTGGGGTGATGAAAACATTCTAGAATCAGTGATGATAGCTGCATAACCCTGTGACTACACTAAAAACAACTGAATTGTATGCTTTAAAGCCCAAACCACAAGCATGGAGCGTGAAGCGGTAACAATGCTTGCTTCTCAGTTTCAGTCACAGGAATGAAGGTGACACAGATAAAATGGAAGTTTGTGGTAAGTAGTAACATGATCTTTTTGTTTATTTTGCATTCCACTATCTCTGACCAACTTTATCCTAAAGTTCATATACACAATGTGATCGTTACTTTAAAAACCTATTGCTTTTATATTTCCCTAAGTAAATAATCAAATATTGCTCTAACTTTAATAAATTCCTCTGGCTCAAAATCAATCTTAAAGGATTAATATTATCATCAAATTAATGAGAAAAAAGGAACATAATTTTTTTTAATGAATTAATTATTCAACCCCATAAAGAAACTTATTTCCATTACTTTAGCCTCCATATCACAAGTAAATTAGAACAGAATTGAATAGAGTATGTGACTTTGAACTCTATCAGGAGAATTACATTAATATAGTTGATGGTGATGTGAAATTTTAACTCTGCAGAGAACATCAGTCTACAGAGAATTCTAACTTGGATCTAAAATTCAAATTCTTTGAAAGCTGCTTAAACGCAGCTGCTTTAAAAATGGTATATACTGCAATCATGTTTTTAAAAAGTATTTGCATATAGAAATATGATATCTGGATAGAAAAAAAATGGAAGGAAATCTGCAAATGAGACAATTATTGCTTTATTAGGGTGGCCAAATTATGGGTAACTAACTTAAAAAAAATTTTAAGTGGCAATGATTTATTTATTTCCTTGTTTACTTATTTATTGATTTTGTGGGGAGAGGTAATTAGGTTTATTCGTGTACTTATTTTTTAAGGGAGCTACTGGGGACTGGACGCAGGACCTTGTGCTTGATAAGCATCCACTCTACCAATGAGCTATGCCCTCCCCCACAGAGACTAACTGTTTAAACATTTCCTCATTGGTGCAACCATTATGAAAATTTGACTATATTAAATAAAGATGTACATCCCCAAACCCACCTATTCCATACCTGAGGGAAATTCTTGTCTCATACGTTATACAACAGAAAAGGGAAAAACAATGTTGAGTTTAAAAAGGTAGCTACAGGAGAAAGCTAGTATGAAACCGCTCATACCAAGTTTAAAAACATGTTAAATAAAACTATAAAATTCATATGCAAGTAGTAAAAACATGAGAACACATGTGAGACAATAAATAAAACTTCACGAAATGGAAAGAAGTGTTACATGGGGCTCCAATTGTATTTATTTTACTTTTTAAAAGATTTCTGAAACTTAAAAACTGACAAAGCTAGGTGCTAGATTAAAAAAAGATGTACATATTTTATGTACTCTTCTGGAACGCTTGAAATACTTATAATTTAATATTTGTCATAAGAAGTCAAGTTTTTTGACAACAAAAGCAAAAATAACTAAGTGGGATTACATCAAACTAAAAAGCTTCTACAGAGCAAAGGAAATCATCAACAAAATGAAAGTCAACCTACTGAATGCGAGAAAACTATTGCAAATCATAGATCTGATAAGGGGTTAATATCCAAAGTATATAAAAAAACTCATTCAACTCAACATAAAAAGAAAATCAGATTAAAAAAATGGGCAAAGGATCTGAATAGACATCTTTTGAAAGAAGATGTACAGAGGGCCAAAAGGTACAAGAAAAGGCGCTCAACATCACTAATCATTAGGGAAATGCAAATCAAAACCACAATGAGATACCATCTCACACCTGTTAGAATGATCATTCTCAAAAAGACAAGAAATAACAAGTGTTGATAAGGATGTTGAGAAAAGGGAACCCTTGTGCACTGTTGATGGGAATGTAAATTGGTGCAGACACTATACTACGGAAAACAGTATGAAGATGCTTCAAAAATTAAAAACAGAATGACCATATGATCCGGCAATTCCATTTCTGGAAATATATTTGAAGGAAACAAAACACTAACTCGAAAAGACAGCTGTGCCACTGTGTTCACTGGAGCAAAGTTTACAATAGCCAAGACACGGAAACAAGCTAAGTGTCCATCGGTGGATGAATGGATAAAGAAAATGTGGTGTGTGTATACATATAGATGTATATATTTACAATGGAACATTATTCAATCATAAAAGAGAAGGGAATCTTGCCATTCGGGACAACATGGATGGGCCCTGAGGGTATTATCCTCTATGACATGTTAGACAGCGAAAGACAAATATCATAAGATCTCATTTATATGTGGACTCTAAAAAACAAAAAATAAACAAGTCAACTCATAGACACACAAAACAGACTGGTGATTGCCAGAGGTGGAGCGGGGGTTGGGGGTGCTCCCCAAGGGGTGAAGGTGGTCAGAAAGTACAAGTGTCTAGTTATAAAATAAATTATGGGGGTGTATAGCATGGTAACTATAATTAAATACTGTATTACATATTTGAAAGTTGCAAAGAGAGTATATCTTTAAAGTTCTCAACACATCAAAACTTTATAATTATGTAAGGTAATAGATGTTAACTAGGCTTCTTCCGGAGATCATTCCCAATGTATACAAACACTGAATCATTATGTTGTACACCTGAAACTAACATAATGGTATATGTCAACTGTATCTCCAAAAACAGGCCCTATTTTTAAAAAGAAGTACATTTTGTATTTGTTGTTTCCAGGCCCTGAGAAATAATCTATTCCTCCAGCTACCTTTTCCTAGATATTTCCTTATCTCTGAGTTAAAAACATTAAAATGATTAAGATAGAGTCCATTACACAACAATGTAAACTGACTATACTTCAATAAAAATTTTTTTAAAAGTACAGAGTCCATTAAATAACAAAAACCCACACATCTTAGTATGAAATTTCCACAGGTTCTGAAAATAAATCAATTAGTTAATAAAAAAATTCAGAAAGTCTGTCAATTTTAGACCATACCTGGCCTTGCATTTCTGGTCTTACAGAATATGTACTTGGGTAAGGAGCCCGAGGTCGCGCAGAATTCCAATAGTTAGAATTGTAGCCAGGATAAGGTGGCTGCTCCTAAGGAAGAAAAGGAAAACAGAGTCATTTTTACTAACATCCTTATATCATTCTGAAAAGTTCACAAAGGCAGGTATCAGTACCAAAAAAAAAAAAAAAGCAATGGGACCCCCCACTATAAAATCACTGATTATTCAAATTGATGCAGATATATTATATGGTAAATCACTTGTTCTAGAAAAAGCAATTATTAACTATTCTTACACATTATACCAACGATAAACAACTGATATATCAATGATACGTCTACTATGTCAAGATAATTAGCAAAACTAGAGACAATGGATTCCTTTATCCCTCTCCCATCACTAACCCCATCACTACTAATTTAATTAGTGCAACACAATTACAGTTCTTTGTTAAGGAGAGTAGTATTTACTTACCTCAACAACTTTGGAACTTGAAAATATTACCACTAAACTTTACTTCAAATGCATTCATCTTCAATACTCAACTTCTTTGCCTGGCCACACCCCTAGTTTTTTCATATTCCTCTACTTTCTGTTACAGCTAAGCTTTCTGCTGGCTGTCCACAGCTAACTCAGTACTAGGAACTGATGAAGAATCATTACCCCTTCAAGGAGAAAATCCACCTGTGACATTAACCCTTACAGCTTTTCATTCCAACTCAAAAAGTTAGTGCAGTCATTTGCAATAAGCCAATACACTCTGATAAGAGACCAGATCAACTCAAACCCCTTCAGGCTGTTTTAATATATACATTTGTTACCCATAAGCCGAGTTATTTTGCTTTGAGCTTTACAGTTTAAGTATAATTTTAAGCTTAAACAGAATCTTCAAATCTTGAAATATGGTCTCAGAAAGAAATTCACTGGCAGATGCGTCACTGAGAATTTAATTATCACCATCATAGCTTAACTGCACTACTTACCAGTTTCATAATACTTTGTTTTCAAAGCATGCCATCATTCCACATGACATTATACAAGCCGCGCATGTAACATCTCCCTTACATAACACAAAAACTAGAGCAATATAGAAACTAGCCAGATTACAAGGAAAATGTTATGGGCAAACGTCAGATCCTAACAACCAAATTTCTCAGTCAGGCAAATTCCCCTGATTAATGCCCTCCCTTCCTTGCCCTTAAGTGGTGTCTGACTAATTGATTTTTCTTTACCAAGAATTTGAATCTTGATTAAAGAGGTGAAAAGACAGGAGTGGAAGCTGACTCACTCTGGCTGAGTGTGGTGAACACCCAAATCCTTGGCTTCTGTTCTTTCCTACTGATTCTTGGAAGCACCCCACACATTTCTACTACCTCTTCCACCCACTCGTGTCCTTACTCCTTCCTTACTCAGCTTCCCAACACCTGAATCCCCTGCCGCTCTTTCCCTCAGATGCACTCAACCTGCAAACACCTCACCCAGTTTAAACCCCATTATCCACTGACTCCATTTGTGTGCTTCATCTAAGCACAAGCCGAGGGAAACACAGGCTCTCTGGTTTCATGCAAGCAGACACTCAGCACTGCCGAGAACTGCACTACACTTCCTCTGGACATGCATCTCACTCTCCAGAACAACTGTTTCCCTTTTTTTGTCCCCTCAAATCTCCATACCCTCTTAGGCTACTCTTCATTTTTCAACTGATAACTTTATCTTGTATTTCACTTAAAAAAAAAAAGGCAGCAGCAATCAGACAGAAACTCCATCTTCCTATTTACTAAATCTACAATGTACCATATCTGTCACTGTCTTCCCAAAAAGCAAGAATGAAGTGTCTCTGGCCCTGTTAAAAGGCCAATCCTTCCACATAGCTCTGGACCACATAACTTCTACCTTCTAAAGCACTTTATTCCTCCAGCTCTCACTACCCTTTCTTTTATCAGTCATCTGTTTTTCCAGGAGAGCAGATCAGCTCCATCAGAACCTGCCCTCAAGACTTCTCTAAACAAATATTAAAACATATTTTTAAACTACCATACTTAACAGTGTGGCAAGTGACTGGATGTATAATAAACAAGATTAACAACAACTTGATAATTGCTAAAGATAAGTGATGGATATCTGGGAGTTTTATTATACTAGTCTCTCTTCTTTTACAGATGTTTGGAAATTTCTACAATAAAAAGTTAAAAAACAAAACGGTTGGACAGGGATTGAAGGTAGATATCCTTTAAATATACCCTGTTTTGTACAGTTGACTTTAGAACAATGATAAATACTTTACATAATTACAAAAGATAATGAAATATTTTTAAATCCCTGAAAGAAAGCAAAACAAAACAAAAAACACTGAGTATTAAATTGACAGGACAATCCCCCCAAAGAGAAACTATTTCAAGTGACTGTAAAGCACAGTAATGTGACCAGCATCCCTACTGGGACATACTCTATGCACTTCCCCCTACGGCCACTAAAATGGATTCTTTTTAGTAATCATACTAATAATTACCGACATTGTTGGTACTGTTTTGATACTGTTGTGTAGGTTTGTAGCTGAAAATGAGTGATTACGTTTGTGTGGCTGAAAATCAGCATCTTCACAGTGGGAGATAAGTCATATAAGAATCATGAAATTTAGCAGCACCTTAGTACATAAAACAATTACTAACAGAGATAAAGGGGGATACTGGTGGGAATACAATCATTGTCGGAGATTTTAACTTCGCATTAACATCACTAGACAGATCTTCCAGACAGAAAATAAATAAGGCAACAGAAAATTAAATAATACAATAGAAAAATTAGACTTGGTAGATATTTTCAGAGCATTATACCCCCCCAAAATAGGATATACATTCTTTTCAAGTGCACATGGAATATTTTCTAGGATTGATCATGTACTTGGGCACAAAAGAAGCCTCAACAATTTTAAGAAGATCGAAATAATCTCAAGCATCTTTACTGACCACAATGCCATGAAACTAGAAATGTACTACAGAGAAACCAAGGAGAAAAAAAGGAAAGCATGGAGATTAAACAATATGCTATTAAAAAACCAACGGGTCAATGAGGAAATCAAAGCTGAAATTAAAAAATACCTTGAGACAAATGAAAATGAAAACACAACCACACAAAATTTATGGGACGCAGCAAAGGCAGCGCCAAGAGGGAAGTTTATAGCGAAATAGGCCTTCCTG